CGTTAGTGAATTAGTGCAACCAACCCCTCGTGCCTTTGTTAATGTAGTACAACGGGCTCGTGAATCAGGTGACTTAAGACCTCACAGGGGACCTCACGATCAAATACAGGTCCGCACTGAAATACTTGTCGGGAGGATACTTTATAAAACAAGGTAAAATTTTTTTTTAATTTTTTTTTTATTTTTACACACATATTTTGGTTTATCTTCCTTCTACAATCATTATCTGAAAATTAATGACTCAACTTCAAAGTCACCCTGTATATATCCAGGTTGGCCCAACGAAAAGGCCACATCCTTATTTGTAACTCTCCTGGTATATTTTGGAAAAAACGCTTGGTCACGTCAGTTTTAATCTATAGGGGAACGTCTTTTCATCTATAGCCATACAGGGTGCTCCAATAATAAGATATTTCGTTGCGCTTTAGATTTTTAAATAGAAACCCCCTTTGTATTTTTAGATTTTCCATGAAGTTTTTATCAACTTTTATTTATCAATGTTTCTACCGATCTTGAATCGTTGAAAGTTTATACCAGCATAGGAGCTGCTTGCCTCATATTCAAAATTTACGGTGTGAAAGACCCTACAGGGAGAAATCTACTCTCTATTCCCTCTGTGAGACAAAACTACTCATTAAGGCACTAAACCTGAAAAACTATTTACTTTATTGTAGGGAAAGTAAAGCAAAAGCAAGAAAATAAAAATGTACTAGGGTAATACACCCTCAAAAAGTTATCCCTTGTTCTTAAACAGTGTTGGCATCTCAAAAATCAAAATCGTGATCACTGCAATGGAGTAAGCTCAATAAAAGGTGCAAATGTAGGCGCTGCGCCACATTTGAGCACGAAAAATGCCAAACAATATCAAGTACACTTTAAGAACTTCAATGAACAATAATAAATATCTATAAAATAGTTAGTTAGTCTACTTATTACCATCCTCACCATAATCAGCTGCAAAACAGCTACGAGACACCTACAAAGCTGGAGAAGTGCAAATAGTGTTTTTTTCAATGCCTTCCCCCTAAAGAGAAGCAGACATTGAGGAAACTTCTCCTGGACATGCATTAATGCACGTGGTCAGAAGATATAGAAAACTTACCGCTGAAGGAGTTGAAATCCCATAAAAATGGAGAAAGCATCACCCAAACAACAACCAAAGTAACTAAACGTAAGGTAGGTACAAAAAATGGTGCTACTCCATAAACTGGTGATTGGGGCCAAATATCCCAAAATCTGGACATCAAATGAATGGTCGATAATACACCCTCTCAACCAACGATTCAATAAGAAATGAAGACCGAGACGAAATTTAAGAAAAGTTCCGCAGCCGAGCATGCACAAACAACATCGCTGGTCGCCTATGGGCGCACCCCAGATGGATATATTTCCCAAAACAACGTACTAGGTACGAGGGACCAACGATACTTTATGAGGAAATTTCCGAGGTAGTGATTAATACACATTAATGTTCAAAAGATTTCAACACAATACTGAGTCGCTAAGAAAGAAAGAAAGATATAATATGTGTGATATTATAGTTGCCGGATTAAGTAGCTTCTAGCTGAACAAATCAATAAATTATTAAATTTACCAAACGAAAATCATTGAAAATGGTTTAGACTTGAAATCGGTAGGCACTCATCATCAAAATGGTAAAAAACAGGTTATGTGATTTTGGCACGATATAAGTGGTGGAATAGCTTATAGGTCAACTTCGCCTAAAATGAAAGTCGTTTATTATTGTTTATAGTTTGAAGTTTGTTGGCTGAAAATTGCCACGTTATACCAATTTTATTTGCGTGGAATGCCGAATTTGCCTCGTTAACTAATGACAAGCATGTCGTGGTACATGGAATCCCTTACTATTGTGCAAATGTCGAATCTGGACGCCACTGAACAGATAACTACCCTCTAGATTTCGACCCTTAGCGGAAATGTGTCAGTCATATGCGGGGGTAACCAGCTACCCCGCAAATGACGTCTGTGCTTGACATGGGGTGGATCGGGTGGCTCGGTGACGGGTCCTTGACAGTTGCTAATCAACTTTTTGTCCAACAAAAATTGTATCGTACTATAAATGCGCGAGGGTGTGGGTTTAAATTCGGTAATTTGTTTCTGACACGTGTCACGAGGCTGCCAGTATTTTTCTCATCGTGGTGCCTTTTCTTACAGTTCGCATAACAAGGTCGCAAGTTCACTAGCTGATTGACATTTTCCACAAAAATTAGCCGTGACTGTTTGTCAAGCGGTGTAACTTGTACCGGAGTTCAAATAATCTCAGAACATCGGATGTCCTGCCGAAAAGGTCATATTTATCTTAATACTGTATAGAGCTATTTTTGCATATGTTGTCGATCAAAATGGAATTAATTGCCAAGATTTTCCATGCAACTTTCTGATGGAAATATATACTTCCTTGTCTTTAAGCATGTGTTGAGTTATTTCATTCAGCCGTAATCCACTGACGAAGATCTTGAATGGAATACTTTTCAAATGCCGCCAGAGGAAGTAATCTAAATGACTTAGGTCCGCAGATCTGGGCGACCACTCGATGAGGCCTCTACAGCCAGTTCATGAGTTTTTTGGGTTGTATCAAGTGTATATGTACATGTACCAAAACTGCTATTTCTGCGGCTTCATTTCTAGCTGGTCGATTTTCTAAATGGCGATTACGGCGAATATCAGACACATATCCAATTTCTTAAAATTCTCGTTAACGTTTCTATCTGGATGTAACGTATTGGGCAACTGGGCAGTAGCTCTTTCAATGCTCCCGTTTTGGTAATACAGTTTTGTTATTTCTACACTTTCTTGGATTGAATACGTCATTGTCCAATATTTATCACAACTAGGTAGGTAACTTAATAATTTGAAATGAAAGACAAAGTTTTTCTATGTCATACGATGACAGTGACTGATGCTAAGTGTTCTTGCTGGTATCTGTGATTATTATTTTGTGCCGTGCATTTCATTATTATCAGTATTAGGTTAGTTTAGTTTTTTCATAGACTCAAATAGCTTTACAACGGTTAAAGATAGGTATAGACTTTATCGCAGAAACCATTTTTTCTCTATTAGGAAGTATGTACGTTTTTAAATTGATTACATAGAACTATTATGTGGAGTTGAGTAGAATACGGTCCTGCCTGTGGCTATTAGATGTAGTGGGTGATTTTAATTATACCAGTCTGCCCTCTGTCCACGAATACTCCCTTTTTGTCGAATAGTGCAGAGTGCGAGCCGTTGAGCGAAATAAAACAAATAAAGGGACGGTCGTTCGAATCGACGAAATGGATTGCATCCTCTGAATACAAAGCGAAATATTCACTTCAAAAATAATTATACTAAGTGACATATAAATCCGAACACCCAGTTTAAATGGTTTTATTTTAATAAAAGTTGGTGAATATATTTATCTTAATGTAAATAACAAGTGAAAAAATTTTCAGCCTTACCAGTTGGACATTCCGGTTTTCATACTGCTTTTTTCAATTCACTAACGCTCTAAAAATAAATATTTCAGCCGCAGTAAAGAATCAACGTTGGCGGATTTTGGTTCTTGACATCCTTTACGATCGGTTACGATGCCTAGAGTACGGAGACCTGTACGATTTCGTCAAATTAGTGAGTTTGATAGGGGGGTGTATAGTGGGACTTCGGGAAGCTGGACTTTCTTTTCGGGCAATTGCAGTTAGAGTGCAAAGAAGTGTAGACACTGTGGTTAGGTGTTATCAGGCATGCTTCAAGAAGGCCGTACGCAAAGAGCAAGGGGCACTGGACGCCGCCGTAGAACAACAGACCGTGAAGATCGCCGCCTAAGATTATTGGCCTTAAGGGACCGTTTCTCCACTACCAGGTTCATTGCAAATGAATGGTTTGCAGAACACGGAAGACCTATTTGCATGCGAAGTGTTTACCGACGAATGAGAAGTTTTGGCTTGTTTTCATACCGGCCACACTGGGTCCTCCCTTTAACTCGAGAACACCGACGTAATCGCCTTGAGTGACAACGGTCACTCTGGGATCAGGAATGGAACAGTATTGTCTTTAGTGACGAGTCTAGATTTTGTTTAGGGTTAGAAGGCGACGTGGAGAAAGGAGGCATCCACAGTTTTTTGTTGAAAGACATGTTCATCACACTGTTGGAGTTATGGTTTGGGGCGCTATAACTTATGGTTCCAGGTCACCTTTAATCTTCATCAGAGGTAACATGAACGCGCAGCGTTATATCCACGAAGTTCTAGAACCCCATCTTTTACCCTATCTTGACACCCTGGCAGATCCAACTTTCCAACAAGATAATGCCCGACCACATGTTGCAAGAGTCACAATAGACTTCTTTCAACATAATGATGTCACATTGTTACCATGGCCACCAAGATCTCCCGACTTATCCCCAATTGAGCACGTGTGGGATATGATAGGTAGGAGATTGCTCAATTTGCAACGTCCTCCTCAGACTCTAGAAGCACTTCGAGAGGAGTTGGTGGTTGCCTGGAGGAGGACATTGACCACCTGATCAGAAGCATGCCTAGGCGCGTTGGAGAATGCGTAGCACATCAGGGTGCATCCACACATTATTAAAGGTCAAAGTGCTTTAAAGCAGTGCAATCATTTTGAAATTTTTATCATTTACTTATTATGCTTCATTAAGTACTTATACAAAATTTTATTAAAATAAAACCATTTAAACTGGGTGTTCGGATTTTTATGTCACTTAATATATATGAAAGTTGTCATTGTTCGTCATTGTCTGTTAGAGCGGTCCGTAGCACCTTTGCTCTTGACTAATCCGTAATCACAGACTCCTTGCTAGTACGTCGTGGGGAATTTCTCGTTTTTCCCCAGTCCATCTGACCAGACGTAGACGTACCTTTTCATCGAGTCGTATTGAAGTAGCACTAAGACGGTTGCATCGTTTGTGTACGTTTACTTACATCACGACGTGAATTTCCGACGGAGTCTGTCGTAATGTTATATTCTAGTTTCTGTATTTCATGAACCTGCTCGGTTTATTTTAGGTTTTTATGATGGATGTGGATAGCAAAGCTGTCCCTCAAAAAAAGTTATATATGGCGATTCGGACTACGAAGAAGCTTTGCTGAAATGGGTGGCTGAGGTGGATGAGGAAAATGAAAACGACAGTGATATCGATTCAGATGCTGAATTTATTTACGCTGATCATGAGTGCGTTTGGAACAAGGTAGAGATACAGATGGTGAAAGACTTTCTACTGAAGAAGATGAGACATCGAACGGCGCTCCTACAGGAAACTATTTCTATGGAAAAAAAACCGTTTCAAATGGTTTGCGTGGACTGTGCAAAATGAAAAAATAACTTGGGAAAACAACTACTGCACGTTTCCAGAATATAACTATCACGATAATTTATAATCGTTATAAGTATCCTGTTTCACGCTTTTACCAAAAATATTCACGAAAATTGTGTGCAATAAATATATTGCTTTTTACTGAAGAAATTTTTTTTTAAAAACGATATTGAAAAAAAATCCTATTTAGGTAATACAAGATAGACCACGTTTGTGGTAATGTTCAAATAATTGGCCGTCTGTGGCTACGGGTTAAAGTATTGTGACTCGGACAAGGTCAAGGATTTGACTATTTACTAACAAACATTCAAGCAGAATTTGGACGCAATAAACGGCGCTGGTCAACGTAATGCGCCACTAGAATAGAACCAACGAACTTCATCTCCCACGCGGCTTCAGTAGCAAAACTCAACCAGTTGGACCTTCTGGTGGAAAAACTAAAGCTATTGTAGATTCGTCATTAGTTCATCAGATATTGGTAGTTAAAAATGTTTGAAGTAATATGAACATCAAATTTCTTGACGAATTCTTTTTGGGACCAGTCGGAATGACCTTCCTTTAGGAATAGTTTTCTCGCAATTTTCAGGTACGAAAACAAAGGACATTCATGTTCAATGTAATGAAACACGAGCAGAAACAGAAAGTAACGTACGTTTATGCTTATTGGCTTCATCCGGCCCAAATGCATATGCGCCGAAAACCCCAAAGTGAAAACATATTTCCATGACATCTGTTTAAAGCAATAGTATTATTTAACATATTTACTCTATTAATACAGGTAACATGGAATGAGTAAATAAACGTAATTTATCCATAGTAGGACAATGCCTGTGCATTTTTAAGTTCTATGTCGGAATGGAATAGATAAAAAAGCGCGAATAGAGAGAAAAGAAAACATTTGCGAGAATGATAGTATTTATTATTTATTGTGTATTATTTGAGATTATTCCATCAATGTTATTTCTCCTAAGCGGGTGAATCTATTTTTATTTTTTTTTGATACCTAATGTATACTAAGTGACATATAAATCCGAACACCCAGTTTAAATGGTTTTATTTTAATAAAAGTTGGTGAATGTATTTATCTTACTGTAAATAACAAGTGAAAAAATGTTCAGCCTTATCTGTTGGACATTCCGGTTTTTATACTGCTTTTTTTTTATTCACTAACGCTCTAAAAATGAATACTTCAGCCGCAGTAAAGAATCAACGTTGGCGGATTTTGGTTCTTGACATCCTTTACGATCGGTTACGATGCCTAGAGTACGGAGACCTGTACGATTTCGTCAACTTAGTGAGTTTGATAGGAGCCGTATAGTGGGACTTCGGGAAGCTGGACTTTCTTTTCGGGCAATTGCAGTTAGAGTGCAAAGAAGTGTAGACACTGTGGTTAGGTATTATCAGGCATGGCTTCGAGAAGGCCGTACGCAAAGAGCAAGGGGCACTGGACGCCGCCGTAGAACAACAGACCGTGAAGATCGCCGCCTAAGATTATTGGCCTTAAGGGACCGTTTCTCTACTACCAGGTCCATTGCAAATGAATGGTTTGCAGAACACGGAAGACCTATTGGCATGCGAAGTGTTTACCGACGAATGAGAAGTTTTGGCTTGTTCTCATACCGGTCACACTGGGTCCTCCCTTTAACTCGAGAACACCGACGTAATCGCCTTGAGTGGTGCAGACAACGGTCACTCTGGGATCAGGAATGGAACAGTATTGTCTTTAGTGACGAGTCTCGGTTTTGTTTAGGCATGCACGATGGTCGTGCCAGGGTTAGAAGGCGACGTGGTGAAAGGAGGATTCCACAGTTTGGGGGTGCTATAGCTTATGGTTCCAGGTCACCTTTAATCTTCATCAGAGGTAACATGAACGCGCAACGTTATATCCACGAAGCTCTAGAACCCCATCTTTTACCCTATCTTGACACCCTGGCAGATCCAACTTTCCAACAAGATAATGCCCGACCACATGTTGCAAGAGTCACAATAGACTTCTTTCAACATAATGATGTCACATTGTTACCATGGCCACCAAGATCTCCCGACTTATCCCCAATTGAGCACGTGTGGGATATGATGGGTAGGAGATTGCTCAATTTGCAACGTCCTCCTCAGACTCTAGAAGCACTTCGAGATGAGTTGGTGGTTGCCTGGAATGAGATACCACAGGAGGACATTGACCACCTGATCAGAAGCTTGCCTAGGCGCGTTGGAGAATGCGTAGCACATCAGGGTGCATCCACACATTATTAAAGGTCGAAGGGCTTTAAAGCAGTGCGATCATTTTGAAATTTTTATCATTTACTTATTATGCTTCATTAAGTACTTATACAAAATTTTATTAAAATAAAACCATTTTAACTGGGTGTTCGGATTTATATGTCTCTTAGTATATTTATTGTGTAATATTTGAGATTATTCCATCAATGTTATTTCTCCTAAGCGGGTGAATCTATTTTTAATTTTTTTTGATACCTAATGTATTACTTAATTGTTTTAAGCGATTTGGTGAATGTCCATACAATTTTGGAGATAAATAGAGGTGAGATCGTTTGACTTAAGATTTGTTTGGCTTTGGAACATTTAGAAGACAAACGAATACACAATCAGCTATACTACACTTCGTTTGTAAATTATATGAATATTTGGACAAGGAAGAAAAGTGTATATGGACCTGAACAAGCCCTTTGACATTTTCGTCAAATGTCAAGTAATATCTTGCTCTAAAGGAGCAGCAGACTGTGGCAGTTGATGGATGCTAATCTTCACGGCGTAATGTCGAGATTGGTGTACCTCAAAAATCAATCCTAGGGCTATTAATATGTTTGCTATTTATGATGTAGTGAAAATAATGTAAATAACACTCATTGATAAACTACAATGCGTAATAAATAAGTTCAAAAGCTATTTTTACAGTAATCAACTATCACTTAACGCAAAAAAAGACTGTTTTTATAAATTTTACTCCTCTTTTCACCTCAATCAAGAAGAGCCAGTTAGTCAAAATTTCTAGGAATTCATCTTGATGCAGCTCTTCACTGGGAGCACTACATAGGCAAGCTATGTTTATTTTGCAACCTAGGGTCTTCGACAAGTATATCCAAACAAATTTATAATTACATATTATCATGCACAGTTTGCTTCTAGAGTAAAATATGGTATTATTTCTTGGGGTACATCGAGTCATACGCAGAGGGTCCTTAAATTGCAGAACCGAATATTGAGAAAAATAGCTGGAGTAGCGCCGCATGCGTCGTGCAAAGAAAGTATCACATAATGACAGTTCCAAATATTATGATAGAACTATTAATGCATGTAAAATCAAATTTACATAACTTTCCAGTCAATTCAGAATTTCATACCTATAACACACGTAATATTACTGCAATAGTCGTCCCTGCACATAAAAAGCTCTCAACTCTCTCGGCTTGAAGCTGTTTAATAAGCTAAAAAAAATGTTAAGGATATTAATGATCCGGGCGTGTTGAAAAAGACGCATGACTGGCTACATCCTGAATAAGCCTTTCTACAGTGTGTCAGAATATCTGGACTCTTGAAACTCCGCTGTTAAGCCTCTACTATGAGACAGTGTTTTTCTTTTTAAAACCCTCACTGCACTTTTTTGTATTAAAAGAAGGTGTTCAAAATGTCGTCCTCCACTTTCCACACAAGCTTCAGTACGACGAACCCAGTTTCTTCTTACTCTAGGTGCTCGAAGTTTTCCATTTATTATTTCAGCCGCATTAAAAATTTTATCGCGAAGTTGTGCTTCAGTACTTATTGGACCAGCCCCATAAACCATCGCTTTAAGTTCTCCCCAATACCAGAAATCTATCGGATTGAGGTCTGGAGATCTTGCTGGCCATTTTCGAGGATCAGGAGCATTTCGACCGATCCAGCGATTTGGATAATGTTTATTCAAATACTGAATGACGCCTCTAAAAATGTGTGGTGGTGCCCCGTCATGAAGAAACCACAAATTTTGTCCCCGTTGTAATGGTCTGTTCCAAAAGCTCTGGTAGGTTATTGGCTAGAAATCTGAGGTATCCTTCTCCTGTCAACTTTGGGGGTAACTCGAAGGGGCCAATTGCCTGATCGTCAAGAATACCCGCCCAAATATTTATTTTAAAGCGTTGTTGGAAATGACCTTCACGAATGACATGAGGATTTTCTTCGGCCTACGTGTTAGTATTATGAAAATTTAGTATTCCGTTTCGCGTAAAAGTACATTCGTCCGTCGCTAGAGTGTTTTTAAAAAATCCGGATTTTCAATGTTTTTTGGTAAAAACCACTGACAAAATGTTAGTCTGCGAGGATAGTATTCTGGTAACCAGGCCTGCGCTCGTTGTACATGGTAAGGATAAAGCAAATTTAAGGATTCCATGGACTATGGTATGCAATAGTCCTACGCGGCGGCCTGATTCCCGAGTGCTGATATCTGCATTGATTTCCACGATATTTAAAATTTGTTCCTCCTGCTTTTCAGTAACCTGTCTTTCACGAGTGCAAACATTAGTGGGCTAGACACTTTCTGTAGTCTTTGGTACACTTGCAAAAATTTCCTTCTCTCTGGGTGTATCCGTTGCGATGGATTTGAGGTGCAAGGTTTGAATTCTGACGAGCTTCACCGTAAACTAACAACATTTCGGCGAGCTCTTGATTCGAGAGCATTGTAAATAAACACGACGACGTACGCGAACAAAAACAAAACAACACGCGCGATGCTCTTCTCGACAAAACGATGAAGTAATTTATCTATGCAAAACGATAACTAATCACTGTTACTGTTTGCGATCGATTGCCGGTTCGATAAGGGTGATGAAAGACCGACGCGCTGTTGTCATGTGTGTTTTAAATATTTAATTTAATGAAATTTACTTACTGACTACAAATGTTGGCTTAACTTAGAGAAACTTAATGCCATTTATTTGTTAATTACCCAATTTAAAAACGTTTTAGATTAGATTATAAAAATTAGTAAGACTGTGGTGATAGTGGTCGATATCAAGCACTTAAAGTTATAAACTATAAAACCATTTATACAAAAATGTATTGACTTTTGGACCATGGGTCATATGAACTCTTTGACTTGTTTTGACCCCGTTTATTACCCATTTCAATAATGTCTACCATAAAGTTTATACCGTGTCTTGTCCTTTGACAATTTTCTAAATGCTA